TAGTAAGAGACTTCCACTCAAGATTTCAGTGATAGACTGAGAGACTTGTTCAGATACAAATGAAAGAAAAAGATGTTAAGCCTACTTGAGCCCAATTTCAAGAAAGGAAAAAAAAAAACAAAGAGAAAAAAAAAGGTAGATCCCCGTGAGACAGGTGAAGGACAAAAGGTGAGTTGAAGTGAATAAAACTGGTTTGGGCATTAGAGTCAGTTTTCACTTTCTGTTCACAGGTAGAGGAATATGAAGGATGTAGGGTTTGGAAGAAAAAGAAGTGAGGTAATATTAAGTAAAATATTATTGATGACAAGCTATGGCAGAAATGTGAAAACTGCTTGTATTTTCATAGTTTGGAAAAAGGAGAGGGTTTTATTAATCTTCTTTTTTTGGAGGGGGAGGGGGAAATAGTGGTATGTACAAAAGAATGATCACTGCTGATGCTATTTTTTCAAAAGAATATGACTGGTTAGTCAATGTGACAAATTCACATATATCGAAAGTCGTGTTTATTGTCACTGTTTTGTTCTCGTCCAGAAAGCAGCTACGACGGAGTGTGTCGATCAGGGTCTGAGAACCAATGTGCTGGACAGCTTACTTGTCTCATCTCCAGGTGCCAGTGTTCTAGAGGGAAGTACCACTCTGGCAACGACCAGTGTACCACAAGTAAGTAGGGGGTGTGTGTTTGGGGGTGGGGGGTGGGAGTGGGTTCGCTAGTACAAACATCAGGTATGAGATTAATGTCTGAGGTTAAGTAAGATTGGGAGGAAGAGCGGGAAAAGAAGAAAACAAAGGAAGAGACAATGGAGGCTGGGAGAGGTGTTATTTAAATCATATGACTTGAGGGGAAAAGATGGAGGAAGGGGAAAAAGATGAGAGATTCTCACTAAAGATATCAGTAGAAGACTATGTGACTTGTTCAGTTGGAAAAAAGGACTTGAAATCTATATGAGTTCAATTTCAACAAATTCATAAAAATCATAAAGGAAAGATGAACAAGAGTCTTTTCGAGTCAAGTGGAGAATAAAAAGTGAGTAGGTGTGAACAAAGCTAGTTTTGATATTATGGTCAGTTTTCACTTTCCCTTTATAGTTTTGCATTACTTACACACGTAGAGGCAACAATATTGAGGATGTGTGTTTAATTGGAACAAGGAGTGGAGAGATCCTTAGTAAAAGAGATCTGAAGAGAGGACAAGGAAAAATGTGAAAGCTGTTTGTTTTTATAGTTCGGAAACGTGGGAGGGTCATATACTGGGAAGACCAATACTGACATATAAAAGAATTAACAAAATAAATATTATATCTTCAAAAGAATTTGATTGGTCAATCTTTGTGTCAGAATTACAGATCTGTCAAGCGTGCCTATTGTCCCTCTTTTGTTTTCCTCCAGAAATCGGCTATGATGGAGAGTATCAATATGTTTGGAAAGTCTTTTTGTTTTTTTCTGTCTGTTGAGATCCCTTCAGAGATAAAAAGTTTGGCTGCCATCTTCTCGCTAAACCGTCTTGTAACTGCTGGCGACCCCCACCTCCTTCAGTCACAAACCTCTGGACTTTTAGGCAGGGGAGATGAGTGGGGTTTTTTTTATCAAAAGAAAGGCAAATGAACAGGCTTTAAGATTATACCTCTTGCTTCCTATTCTCAAAAGATGAGGAGCGCCTGATCTCATGGGTCATGACACAAATAGTTAAACCAACAGCAGGTCAATTTTAACCGAGAGAAAAAGGATGAAAAAAGTCAAGGTGAGACAAGTGGAGGTCAAAAAGTGAGTAGATGTGAGTAAAGCTGGTTTTGGTGTTTTAGCAAGTTTTCGCTTTCTCATCATTGTGATGCAATACTTAGATACATACAGTGACATGGAGGGTGTTTTTTGGGTAGGTGGTCGGTGCTCTGGTGTGGTTTACTCCTTGTTTCCTTTCAAACATCCATCGTCCTTATTGTTCCTCTTTTTTGTGTACGTTACTCTCTTGTAACACCTGTAATCGTTTGCACCTCTATGGCCTAATTGTGTTGCAAGTACTATAAAACTCTCACTAAAGCTAGACTAAAAATCGGAGGATGTGGGGCTTGGTGTAACAAGGAACTAAGAGTTATTGAATAAAAGAGTATTATAGAGAAGATATGGAAGAGCTGTGTAAACTGCCTGTCTTTTTATAGTTTATAAAAGGGGAAGGGTTCTTTTTTGAATACTGATACTGGTAGAAATATACAATGAACTCACTAGATATTTTCACCAAAAGAATTTTATTCGGTCATCTTTGTGACTAATTCACAGATATGTCAAGTGTGTATATTGTCCCTATTTTGTTTTGCTCCAGAAATCAGCTATAATGGACAGTGTCCGCCGGGGTCTCCAGGGTCTGAGGACCCATGTGCTGGACAACTTTCTTGTGATGCCAACTCCAGATGCAAGTGTTCTAGTGGGTACTACCATTCTGGCAACGACCAGTGTGCCAGAAGTAAGTGGGTTGGAGTGAGGGGGATATTGTTTACTTTGTTCCCAGCCCACACATTTCTACATCCGTTGTTTTACTTTGTTACCACACCACACCGTTTTACATCTGGGTTCTTGTAGGGCAGAGTCCGGCCCGAGGATGACGCAATTTGGTGAAAACCCAGAAGTTTTACAAGCAGCACTCTTGTGTTTTGAGATTCCTGTCGAAGGATAGTGAGAGTTAGAAGGAGGGGGCGAAGTAGAAGAAGAAAAGAAGAAAAGGAAAGACACAGGTTATTTAAAATGTGTAACTTGAAAAAGGAGAGAGGGAGGAGAAAAAGAGTAAGAGACTTCCACTCAAGATTTCAGTGATAGACTGAGAGACTTGTTCAGATACAAATGAAAGAAAAAGATGGTATACTTGAGCTCAATTTCAAGAAAGAAAACAAAACAAAAAACAAAGAGATAAAAAATGTATATCCCATGGAGACAGGTGAAGGACGACAGGTGAGTTGAAGTGAATAAAACTGGTTTGGGCAAAAGGGTCATGCTCATACTGTGCCGGAACAACATAGGGGGAGCTGCTGCTTTTTCTTTCCTCATCCTGACGATAGCCTCTACTTTTGTATGTTGGTCAATCGTTTGTGACCCGCAATTTGCGGGGTGCCTTGATAGACAGACTTTGTGCTGTTGAAGCTAGAGAGGTGAGCAGAGTAAGCCTGATTCCCCGTTTGGTGTGTGATACAAATGGCCCTAGTCCGGGTTGCGATCCTCACGTACTTAGACTGAGATTTTTGGAAAGTCTTTATGTTTTTCTACTGTGTCTATCCTCGCTGTTTGTTGGGACGACAAGAGATGTTCAGTCTTGATGTGACATTCTTTTCTTTATCCTTAAGAAAGTGATTGGGATGCTGGTATCCTGAAATCATTGCTTTGTGAGAATGTATGTAAAAAATATCTATGATTTGATTTTTGTGAAATTAATGTTTTGTTTGTCTTCCTGTTGTTGTATCCGCTTGTTTTTTCTCCTTGTCTTCTTTAGGACTGGCTCATGGAGTAGACTGCGCTGACCTCACAGATCCATGTCAATCTGGACAATCGTGTGTCCCAGACAAAAACTTTGCACCAAAATGTCTGTGTGATCCTATAAGTAGTTCGTACTGGGACGGAAATTTCTGCAGAAGTGGTGAGTACAAAGGGAATGTTTTGTATGTTGGCACGTGTAAATATAGACAACGGGTGACATCTTAGCTTGTTTACTGTAAGTCTTAGCTTCACCGACCCCCCACCCCTTCACAACTCGCTGGAAGGGTTGGACAACTCCTTTCTCTGAACCCAATAACTCTTTCTTGCCCTTGACGCTGGCTTGTGGTTTGTCAGACAAGACTAATCCTGTAAGGAAAGTCCTTGAGATGAAGCAAACGTTTACTGTTTGTCAGGATTGACTGACAGCTGTACGCGTCACAGGCTCTTGAAAATACCGTGCATGGTATGTAAATGTGTAAGACAGAGTCAGGCGTACATTTACTCTTCTAATCACATTTCGAACTTTGTGACTCTTGTTGACTTGTACAGAGTACATCAATGTTTTGTGTGTGTGTGTGTGTGTGTGTGTGTGTGTGTGTGTGTGTGTGTGTGTGTGTTTGGGAGGGGGAGAGTATATATGTGTGTGTGGCGGGTATGTGTGTGGGAGGGGTATGTGAGTGTGTGCATGTATGTGTGTGTGCGTGTGTGAGTGTGTATGTGTGTGTGTGTGTGTGTGTGCACGTGTGTGTGTGTCTGTGTGTGTGTCTGTATGTGTGAGTGTGTGTGTGTGAGTGTGTGTGTGTGTGTGTGTGTGTGTGTGTGTGTGTGTGTGAGAGAGAGAGAGAGAGAGAGAGAGAGAGAGAGAGAGAGAGAGAGAGAGAGAGAGAGAGCTGTTGGTTCATAAGAACAACGTCAGCTACTTTCACAGGTCATATTCCCCGTCTGGCTTTGAGTGTGTTGTTTATTTTCAAAATGTAAGTCCCTCTCTGGGTGGCTTGTGTTCTGGCTTTAGATGCATGGTGCCTGTCTGGGTGGCTCTGCTTTCAAGGGAGAAGAAAGAAAAAATTCTGTACCAAAACTACAGCGGAGGCCACTGCGATGTCATGTACAATGGGTCTTGATCTATCTATATATATTATATTGTATTGAGTTATACTGACATGAAACGTCTACTTTTACAATCTCTATAAAAGAGGAGAGAGGTGTGAGAATATCGTCTGTCAAATAAAAATTGAATACATGTGAAGGGCAGAAAAAGCCTCTGTTTATTCAGGGATAGTTTGTTGAGTTTGCCGAGTATATTCCGTTATAGTCAGTTGATGGAAAATAGCATCGTTTACCAGGGTTTGTTTCAACTGAACTCTTCTGTATTTAATATTTTGGTGCTGGAACTATTACATTTGATATTGAGCCTCAGACATAATAGTATGTAAATATATGAATAACATTTTTTCTTCTGTTTTCTCTCCAGTTGACAACAATATTACCGCGTCTGCAAGCAAAGCAACACGGGGCACTTCCCACTTAGACTTCATCTGGATTGTTATCCCCCAAAGATTTGTAGATAACTACCAGGTCGCCACTCGGTCCGATCCACAGTCTTGCTTACAAGCACAGGACAGCATAAATGTGTCCGGGTCCTCCACTGGTGTTGCAGTTACAGGACTCAGACCTGGGGTGAAATATTTGTCCACTCTGACGCTGGTGCTGACCGCGACAACTGACTACCCGGAGAGATCGAAAGTTGTCAATTTACCTGAAGCCTGGACAAGTAAGTTATTGTTAAGTTTTCTTCTTGAGATAGTTGAGAGTTCCTTGTAATCAAATAGAAAGTTTTACCTGAAACACAGGAGAGAATATGTTCTGTGTGTTAACTCTTTGAGCCCTGACCTCCTGAGGCTACGGTGCCCCTCTGCCGGAGCTCCTCACTGATATATTACCAACAACATTCATGTGATCGTCAGAATCACATTTCATATCCCCCTCAGGGCAGTCCTTGTTCACTTAGATGTAAAAGAAATATTCTTTCTGTGGATCTCAAATTCTATTTTTGTTGGTGGACTAGGTAACAAAATCTAAATTCCTGTCAATACTTCCACTGCACTTAGCTTCAGATGTTTGTGGTATGTCAAAGAGAAAACAGCATTGCAAGAGAGTAATACAAAAAAAGAAGAAGAATTGCATTTGTATGGCACACATTCTTGCTCAGCAGCAAGCTCTATAAACTTTACAATCTATCCTGGTAGACCCAATATCATTCTAAAACAATGTCAACTGCCAGCTGGTTGTCAGAGTGCTTCATGTATACATGTGACCATCTGGGCTGTGGTAGTTGGGACAGTACTTCATGTATACATGTGGCCATCTGGGCTGTGATAGTTGGGACAGTTCTTCATGTATACATGTGGCCATCTGGGCTGTGATAGTTGGGACAGTACTTCATGTATACATGTGGCCTTCTGGACTGTGATAGTTGGGACAGTACTTCATGTATACATGTGGCCATCTGGGCTGTGATAGTTGGGACAGTACTTCATGTATACATGTGGCCATCTGGGCTGTGATAGTTGGTACAGTACTTCATGTATACATGTGGCCATCTGGGCTGTGATAGTTGGGACAGTACTTCATGTATACATGTGGCCATCTGGGCTGTGATAGTTGGGACAGTACTTCATGTATACATGTGGCCATCTGGGCTGTGATAGTTGGGACAGTACTTCATGTATACATGTGGCCATCTGGGCTGTGATAGTTGGGACAGTACTTCATGTATACATGTGGACATCTGGACTGTGATAGTTGGGACAGTACTCCATGTATACATGTGGACAATGGGCTGTGGTAGTTGTGACAGATGGATGTTTATGTGAGCACCAAGCACTAGTATTCCCCGGTGTCAAAAAAACGTCAAGTCTCTGTGCTCTGTGGTAAATACAACTCTCATGGGGAAGATATTGATGAGGATATAGTTGGGAAAATGGAGACTGAGTAAAGTCATCAAAATTCCTCTTGATGATATCCCACTCTGTCGTGTTTAGAAGAAAAGTCAGAAATGTTCACAATGCTGTTATTGCAGTATGTCGTGTGTGACACAGGTAACATTTTGTTCTGTGGTACGTGTGAATGGAAATCGTGTTGTCTTGACACCTCGTGACGTGTCTGTTTTCAGAGCCTGCCCAGCCTGGAGCAGTGATACCTGGAAGTAGTACCCTCTCAGTGCCGCGTACTGTCCTCAAGTTTGGACCTTCGGATGGCTGTGTCGCTGGTTATTCGGTGGCAGTGACACGGCAAGGGTTTGCACCTCGAAGCAAAAGTGTGACTAACGACACAGCGGTCTTTGAGAACCTGGTCGCAGATACTTTCTATACCTATTTCATTACAGCCTACAATGGTGACAATGAACCTGGTGGCCCAAGGATAGGATCTTTTACAACAGAAGCTGCAGGTTTGTCATGTTGTTTATGTGTGGTTTTGTTATGTTGTACAGTTTGTTGAGACACAATCTCGACAATTGTTTGCTCCTGGGGATGGACACTCACTGTCATAGACACCTCCTGGAGGAGAATTCTAAAAGAAAGGGAAGTGTATTGCCGTTCAGGTAAAACCCTTTGAACTGTTGTGTGTTTGGAACTACTATAACTTTTCCAGAAAGCTTCAATTACACCCAACTAAAGAGCAAAATGCTCAAGAATAATTCTAAAAAATATCCAAATAATAAAGTCAGTTTTAAAAGTTATCACCGCGAACCGTGATGGGTTTTCTCAGAGCCACATGCAGATATAGTGAGTTTAGTTTTGTACAAAAAATTTAGAGCTTTTATTTTAGTTGTATTAAATAACTCAAACTCATGAAATAATTGTTAAATGCCTTTTATCATTGTATGGAAAGACTTCTATTTTCTTTCATCCTTTGTAATCGTACCTGACGTACCATTTTTCCTCCGTTTCTTTTTTGTATAACGTTTCTCAATACAAAGTGGAATTCTTAGACAATACTTTCAAAGTTGCTCTAATGGAAACCTGTATAAGACAATCACCTGTACAAACGGCCACTTGTATAAGACAATCACCTGTACAAACGGCCATCTGTATGAGACAAGCACCTTTACAAACGGCCACTTGTATAAGACAATCACCTGTACAAACGGCCATCTGTATAAGACAATCACTTGTACAAACGGTCACTTGTATAAGACAATCATTTGTGCAAACGGCCATCTGTATAAGACAATCACTTGTACAAACGGTCACTTGTATAAGACAATCATTTGTGCAAACGGCCACTTGTATAAGACAATCACCTTTACAAACGGCGACATGTATAAGACAATCACCTGTACAAACGGCGACATGTATAAGACAATCACCTGTACAAACGGCGACATGTATAAGACAATCACCTGTACAAAAAGCTTCTTCCCACTCACCCGCAACCCCCTTCTGGTTTGCGTTTTTTTGTCTGTACAATGACACAGTATACGAGTCCACCTGTCTTAGACAACCATTTTTCTCCCTACAATAAGTGGCCATCTTAGACAATCTCCACTGTACTCTTGGATGCTTAAAGAAGCCCAAAGAGAATGTATTCAAAAGTATATTCACTGCATGCTTTGAGCTGTCTTATCTTTGTCTTGTTCACAGGACCAGGTCACGTGTCTGTGTTAAGTCATCTCTCAGTTATTGCTACTGGCGTTGTGGTGAGCTGGCGAAGACCGTCACAACCTAACGGCAATCTAAAAGGATACAAAGTTTGGGTGACAGCAGGCGGGCAGTGCGTTAAACAATTCCATGTACAATGTCTGGGCTGTGATGTGAGTTTGATGGTTTTGCTTCTCACAATACATTACTTTTAGGTTATCTGGTACGAGTCTGTATTTATTTGTGTTTATGTAGAGCATTTATTTTTAGGTTCATGTTAGAGAAATAATACTCAAACCTTAAGAGTACAATTGTAATTCTTTTAGAAGTTAGAAGAGTTTACTTTACTGGATATCTTTAATTCTCTTCTATAATTTTTAGGTTTGGGAAGGGGGGATATGGGCAGGTCCTTGAATGTTTTTAATGCTTCGTGTTATTTTCTATTGGACTTGAAAATTTTTGCTCCAATGTTTATCAAACATCCATTCGCACATGTTCTGTAGGACGTAGTTGGCGGATGCTCTGGTGCGGTTTGCCCCCTTTTTCCTTTAAGACATCTTCGTCCATATCTCTCATTCTTCCTTTTTGTGTAGTTATGTTACTCTCTTGTGACACATCTATTCTTCTGCACTCATATGACCTTACGAAAACTACACTAAGCAGATGTTCTGTGAGTAGATAGTAAGGTTCTGCTTGTATTGCTATCAGACTTACTATAGACCACTTTTCCAAAACAGCTTTGTCACCAGTGTACTTGCTTGTCTATGTGGCTATCTGGCAAGGGGGGGGGGGGGGATCCAACACTTCTGGTATATAGTATACAATGGAACCTGTTCAACACGGAATCACAAGGAAGTCAGAAACAAAATTGTGTCATCGACATTTTCAATCTTGGACAGGGAAAATTAAGGGGAATGGAAACGGGTACATAGATAGTAGTTTGAGTAAGGGTCATCAGTCCAGTCAGCAAGCAGTTGTCAAGACTTCCCACCTCCCAAGTGCTATCTTTGCCTCTCTGATAATGACACGCATCCGTTACTTTTTCATTACCACAAGTGCTTGCATCTCATGTAGCGTCGGTGGTCTAGTGGTTAGGCTACCGGACTCGTAATCGTGAAGTAGTGGTGTCGGTGGTCTAGTGGTTAGGCTACCGGACTCGTAATCGTGAAGTAATGGTGTCGGTGGTCTAGTGGTTAGGCTACCGGACTCGTAATCGTGAAGTAGTGGTGTCGGTGGTCTAGTGGTTAGGCTACCGGACTCGTAATCGTGAAGTAGTGGTGTCGGTAGTCTAGTGGTTAGGCTACCGGACTCGTAATCGTGAAGTAGTGGTGTCGGTGGTCTAGTGGTTAGGCTACCGGACTCGTAATCGTGAAGTAGTGGTGTCGGTGGTCTAGTGGTAAGGCTACCGGACTCGTAATCGTGAAGTAGTGGTGTCGGTGGTCTAGTGGTTAGGCTACCGGACTCGTAATCCCCTGCATGTATCAATGATTTGAGGCACTTTTGTGTCTCGGCTGGTCGTACAATCAGGGCGCCAGTCAGTGGTAAAATTCACACTTTTGGCACCCTCGAAGGTTTCCGTGCTGGAGCGCCACTGGAGCACGTTCACAAACAGTTTTGAGATTACACACACACACACACACACACACACACACACACACACACACACACACACACACACACACACACACACATCGCCCTCACCATCTGCACCTTTCATAACTCAAATGGATGAGGTAACAAAACACAACACTTTCTGCTTTCTTTGTCTGGTGGTGTTGTGTAAAGATTAGAGCCGATGGAACCGAACTTGAGTGTTTTGCTTCAAATGAAGGTTGAGTGAGCAACACATTTTTCTTTTTAGAAAGGTCAAGACCCTCTGAAGGTAAGGGATTCCTCTTTCTGAGTCCGGGTCGAGCACGCTTCTGTCATATATATATATATATATATATATATATATATATATATATATATATATATATATATATATATATATATATATATAGAGAGAGAGAGAGAGAGAGAGAGAGAGAGAGAGAGAGAGGGAGAGAGAGTACCTACAGAGGAATTAATCAGGGGTGGGGGGATTCTGTTATGAACAGGTTGCTGTCTTAGACAGGCTTTCGTTAAAGCAGGTTAGACTGCGTGTATAATACAACCACACACACACACACACACACACACACACACACACACACACACACACACACACACACACACTTACATACATACACACACATATACACAAACATACACACACTCTCACATGCACGCACGCAACATGTGCGCGCGCACGTACAGAGAGAGAGAGAGAGAGATAGAAAGAGAGAGAAAGAGAGAGAAAGAGAGAAACATTGAGAGAGAGAGAGAGAGAGAGAGAGAGAGAGAGAGAGAGAGAGAGAGAGAGAGAGAGAGAGAGAGAGGGAGAGAAAGAGAGACTCTTCCAGTCTAGATTAAAGGACAAGACTCAATGTGTGAGGGTGAGAAGGACAGAAAAGATAAATTAGAAGTAAAACGTTTTAAAAATATAACATGAAAAGAGAATAACAGTAACAGTTTTAATTTCCTCAGAATAATTAGATTATGAATCAAGCAAAGAAATCTTCAAATATTGTTGATCTACCATTTGAGCTAAGAAAATCTTTTCACATTTATCTCATTGGCTAATTTTTGATTTTCCTCCCTCCCATCTCAGGTTTCTGAGTGTCAGCCCCCAGTGCCTTCATCTCCTGTGAGTCAATATGACAGTACAGATCTCAGTGATTTCCAAGGGTCCTTTGAGGTGACAGTGACAGACTTGCTCCCGTACACAGACTACATTGTTCATATCCGCGCTTATAATAGAGAGGTCGGTGGTGGGGTCGACAGGGAGGTATCCTTCAAGACAAGTGAGACTGGTAAGACACGCGGACATGGCTGTTCTTGTGTTCTGATCTGTGTGAGGCTGGTAAGACTCCTTTTGAAAAGACTCCCGTACATGATGATGTGGTTCTTGTGTTCTGATCTGTCGGAGTGACGGCGTGTTTTAATTTTTTCATTTGCCAAATGTAATTATTGTCTTTAACAGAGATGTTTTCTTTATGGAACTGTTATTTGTATATATTATTAGGAAAAAATTGAATGGCATTATGGACTGTAAGCGTGGTGCTGGACATGAAAAGAATAGTTTGTGTGGTGATAATTCTCTTGTTGTCACCTCCAGGCACCTGTTGTCTCATCTGTCATGATGTTTCCAGCCCAGCAGCAAATACGAAATAGTAACATGCTTTGGACTGTTATATTGTTAAAAAACCACTTAATCTTATTATCTAGATCTACATGAAAATTTATTAATTTCCTTAAAAGGAACAAAAAATTTTTTATTTATTTTTTGATGCACCAGAGCAGCGTGGTGATTCCAGTCAAGCTTGTTATCAATTGTTATTCCTAGATATTTGTACGAAGTTACAACCTCTACTTCCTCACCTTTAATAAATAATGGTTGCCATTATTAATTCCTTTGTCTTTTTTACATTCAGTAAAAGGAAGTGGTTATCGCACCAATTTGTAAATACATTTACAGCGTCCCTGTGTTCATTCTAATTTGTTGTTATAAGGCCTTGGAGAGTGGAATCATTTAGAAATTCTATTAGTTTTATGTTTTTGTTATAAAAAATACAGTCGTTGGTGTAGAGCATAGACAAGACAGGAGCGATTACACAACCTTGGGGCGCACCGGTTTGTGATTATTAGATCTTTTCAATATTATCCGGTTTTGTCACTGAGGACACCTATCGAATCAGTCGGTAATTTTTGCTTGGTTCTGTTTTTTGTCAGTCCTGTGCGAAAAAAATGAGTGATTGGCGGCTGCTCTGGTGTGGTTTGCTCCTTCTTTTCCATCAAACATCTATCGTCCTGATCTCTCCTCCTTCTTTATTATGTTTGTTACTCTCTTGTAACACCTCTAATCTTCAGCACTTATATGACCTTAGGCCTATTGTGTTGCAAGTGCCGTAAAACTCTTACTAAAACTAAGTGAAAAAAGCAGCAAAATAGCTGCGCAAGAAAAGTTTGTCTCAGCAGTTTTAGAGCACAAATTTGTGTGTTGAGATGACTGAACGGTTTCTATTTCGGGTTTTGTTGTTTACAGTTTAAAGTAATGTCCTTGTTGGCTTTTCTGCCCTTGATAACACACGGTACTCGTTGCCCACCCCCTTCCCACCCTAACCAAATAAACTGTAGTAATGTCCTTAGGTCCATGTGAAAATAATTAATTCATGTAGTCCCATCTGGTAGGCTTATTCGATAATATCGTCATCGATACCACCGATAAAATCTGGCACAGATTTCTATACCCCCATTGTGACTGTGTGTTGTTGGCACTCATGAAAATATCTTTATGATTTTTAAAACCTTTTTGTTCTATGGAAAGAAGGCAGTTTATAATAAAGCTTCACAAATGCTTTGGACACATTTACATTAATGTTACTATCCTACTGTAAGTTTATGGCGCACATTTCTGTACCCCCATTGTGACTGTGAGTTGTTTGCACTCATGAAAACATCTTCATAAAACCTTCTTGTTGTAAGAAATGGCAGACGTTTAAACTACAGCTTCACAAATGCTGTGGACTCAATACGTAAATGTTACTCTCCAGCTCTAAGTTCCTGCTACAAAGTAGGCCCTCATTCTCCTTGTCTCCCGTCTGCTTTGTTTCGTGTATGTTACACCATGCCAGATAGAACTAACATATTCCTTGGAAAGACCTTTCATTCTACATAAAAAGTTTTACCTTATTTTTCATTATACATGGTACTGTTGGGGTTTTTTTGTGTTGTTTTTTTTTCGTTCACCTCTTCATTCCTTTATCGGGTTATAACGAGGGTAATTTTACTTTAGTTTTTGCATATATTTTATGCATTTAATAGGCCGATATATCTTGTTGGTGCGTGTTTTTTACACTCCGGTTGTTTTAAAAGAAAGCGTAACAAATTTGTTTACATCCTTTGAGTCAAGCAATACAAATTCAAGTCTCTTCAAAAAGTTATTAGTGTTATAATATCAGCTTTGTATTAAACGTCTTTCTCGTCTTAGCCGCAAGCCCTGTGACAAACGTTGAGCTGGAAAGTCTACCCTTGACCGCCCAGGGAAGGCTGGATCTGAATGTTAGCTGGGTCCCTGGTTATCGGAACGGGGAAACCAACTTCACGGTGGTGATCAAGGAAAAAGAAAGTCTCACCTCAGGGAACTTTATTGAGAAACAAAGACAAACGTTTCAAGGTATTAAATAGTTAGTTTTGGGTTTGCTTTCCTTACTGTCCGTTTCATTTTTGGTTCAGTGATGTGTATGTATACTTTGTCTATGTTGTTGTTGTTGTTGTTGTTGTTGTTGTTGTTGTTGTTGTTGTTGTTGGTTGAGTGACGGATATACTTTGGGCCTTTCTGTCCGTATCGTTGTTATTTGTTCAGTAACGTTTAACCCTTGTGCCTTTAGTCTCTGGGTGGTTGGCGGGTGCTCTGGTGTGGTTTGCTCCTTCTTTCCTATCAAACATCTATCGTCCTTATCTCTCCTTTTATGTGTACGTTACTCTCCTATGTAACACATATATTCTTCAGCACTCATGTGACCTTATTGTGTTGTAAGTGCCGTAAAACTCTTACTAAAACTAAATAGTAGTCTTCAAGACTGAAAGCTGAGAGGAATATAGATCTATCACGTACTACAGTGTTTTCTTTCTGTAAGTCAGCATGTCAGGCTTAAAAAACCCAACTAACTGGCACTACATTTGTCCGGCAAATATGAGGTTAAGTTGGGTCTCTAACAATTGCCTTTTGTCTGCTTTCGTCTCCTCTTACTGCACCCTCCCCCTCACCCCGTTTGCCACCTCCTCTGGGCTCCTCACTCTTTCTGCAGTCTTTCTACTGCTACTCATTGGCTTCTTTTTACTGCTGTCTTTCAGCCGCACCCATGGTCTTCTGGTAGGAAAGATCTACATCTACCCTTCTCGGACAAGGGCTAAAAATCTCAGAGGGCCCGTGTGCAAGTTGCGCACGTTGAAGATCACATGGTGGTCTAAAATCGATAAGAGTAGGCTTCGACCGCCACCTGGGCAAAATTCAAAATTTTTTACCAATTGAAAATGGAAGGTGTGTCCCGCGCTCTCATTATGACCCCTTATGCTGTTGCGAGCGCCGTAAAACACTTACAGAAACAAACAAACCAAACAAAAGACCTCAAGAGGTGTCATAATGTTGTTCTTTTGGCAGATACATCTGACATTACAGGTGTCCAGTTGAAATAATTCAGAACAAGTCCATCCTTAAGTGATGTCAGTATTGACCAGTTGAGATTTAGTACAAGTCGGTCTTCAAGTGATGTCATAATTTAAAATCATACAAATCTTATGGAGAGAGATTCTTCTCATATCTTGGTCCATTTATGTGGAACAGATTACCCATGAAACTAAGACAAACAAAATCACTTGATAGCTTCAAAAGACATCTTAAACATTTTCTGTTCCTATAGGACCATCCTCCATACGCTTTAAGCGTTATTTTGTATTATAGTTGTTCTCTTCCTACGTCTGAATGAAAATAGTCCGTATGTGTGTGTGTGTGTGTGTGTGTGTGTGAGTTTGTGTGTGTGTGTGTGTGTGCGTGTGTGTGTGTGTGTGTGTGTGTGTGTGTGTGTGTGTGTGTGTGTGTGAGTGTGCTTAAATATATATTGCATGAGAAGAAAGGAAGTAGTAAGAAAGGTTCTGAAAATGTGTATTCCAAAGTAAAGCGCATTGAACTACTTTTATTGGAAATGCGACATATAAATGTTATATTATTATTATCATTATTATTATTATTATTATTATTATTATTATTTTGTTCTTTTGACAGATACATCTGGCGTTACTTTTGACATTCTGGAGAACGTGCTTGGTCACTGGGTCTATCAAGTGACCGTTGAAGCTAAAACCAACGTGGGTGTCGCTGCTGTATCAAGTCCACAGACCAATACAACATTGTACAAACGTAAGTTGATGGGAAATACAACATTCTACAAACGTAAGTTGATGGGAAATACAACATTCTACAAACGTAAGTTGATGGGAAATACAACATTCTACAAACGAAAGTTGATGGGAAATACAACATTCTACAAACGTAAGTTGATGGGAAATACAACATTCTACAAACGTAAGTTGATGGGAAATACAACATTCTACAAACGAAAGTTGATGGGAAACTTGTCAGGGAAGGTGGGACATTTTTTTCTTTGAAATATGGAATGGGTGCATGCATTAAATAACATTAAAATATCGACTTGGGATGCAGTTTTTATACTTTTACATGAGAGCCAACAAATCTGAAAGTTGTTACCAAGAAAACAAACTCTTTGCAAACATCCCGGGTCGACATTTTTAAGAATACAATTTTGATAATCATTTCATTATTATCCTTGAAGCAAATGTTGTTTTGGCCACAACTTTCCGTTTTTTGCCTCTACTGTAAAACTGAAAAACTGCATAATATACTGCACTTTTAGAAATGATGAAAGTGTTGGGGTTATGTGTCTTTGGCAGACAAATTATTATTTATTTATTCGACTTTTTTTTTACTTCTTTCGTTCTTTATGTAGTTCCCTGCAGATGGGTTTTCTTGGAGTTTTTTGGTATGCTGCAATCTTCCTTGCAAGATATTCCAACCATCTGCATATATCATGTGTTTTCAGATGTATTAACGTCTCCAAATCCCTTACATTGCCAGAACCTCAGAACATTCTTGTGTGCATAACTAATTTTCTTCTTCTTTTTCTTTTTTTGGGGGGATGGGACCGTATGTGTCTCATTTTTCATGAAAAGAAATGATTGTGAACAAAACTATTGTCCCCATATGAAGCGCTGGGAGCATGGACAATAGTTTCTCGACGGTGTTTGTTAAGCCTTGTTGTTTTACTTCCCCCAGACCCGGGACTTGTTAGTGCTCTGACGTTGACAAAGAGTACCCAGGTGGCCTCTGATGTTTCCCTGAGCTTTGGATGTCCCGAGGAAAGAGAAAGAAATGGCTTCATCACAGGCTTTTACATTTCAAAGTCGGGCGGCGCTAGGGACCCAGTAAGTAGACCTACATGTTATATATGTCATGACGCGATGGAATCAGACCCTCGTCATTTTTTGGGCATATGGAGTTATTGGTATCACCTTAAAGCTTGTTCATTTGGTTTTGCTTTTGACGAAAAAAACCCAAATACCCATCTACCTGGAATAGAAGTTGAGATATTTGTGATTGAAGGGGGTGGAGGTTGCCTGGTGTCTGGTGTTAGAGATTTGAATTAACCAGAAAATGGCAGCCAAAGTTGGTGACTTCCAACTAGAACTGCTGCTTGAGGAACTTTCTCATTTTTTAAAATCAAAAGACAAAGAGAGGAATTAACAGTCTTTTTTGTTCTGTGAGACAATACACTGTGCTTCATTAGTATTCATTACGTTGTTTGGAGTGTGTCGTGTCCTGATGCCTCCTTCCACACACCCCTCATGCACACACAGATGCTCACACCTTTTAACTAAGAAATCTCCTCTGCTGATTCTTCCAGGTTGTTCAGTTTGTTACAGCGACTTCCTGCGACAGTGTGTTCCGGCCATCTGTACAAGTGGTTGTTGGGGACAGTCCGACGGATTACACGTTCAAGGTCGGTGCAGGGATTTGGAGGACAGTGTTTAAAAAAAACTAAAGTATTAATAATTACGTATATAGAGATACCATTTGTATAGCCCATATCCCCGCTTGACAGCAAGCTCTGAATTTAACAGTCTACTATATTTATATTTTTCCTGTACAATCTATAGTAAGATTAAGGTTACAAGTCTGTGGTGTATGCAAAAGGGAGAGTTGGAAAGGTAGCCTCTCAAAACCCAGTATCACAACAGACAGTCAAGAACATCATCAAATACAACACCAGGGAACAGTGGCTGAATGGATGGGCCGTGGGCAAAACTGGAAGAGCTGTATTTGCACACATGACTGCTCCCAACTCAAGAGATGCATTACATAGCCAGAGTAGACGAGAACAAATCACTACCTTTCGCCTGTGGAAACAACACATCTCATGGAATTCCTAACTGAATATGATCCGCAAGGATATCCCTCCTGACTGCCCGTTGTGTGACTGCCAGGATGAAACATTATCTCACCACCTCTTTACCTGCCCTGCACTTAGTGACCTGCGTAGTACTTACCTACCAGTCTCTCCACATATTGGAGATACTCTATACAGCAACAAAAGACAGCTGATAAACACCAGTACATTCTTTGACATTTCGACAGGCCGAAGGGTTAGATCTCAGAAGGTCGCTGGATCGAAAATATAAAGTGAAGTAAAAGTTCAACCCAATCCGTACGCCATAGGGTCATTTTGTACCTCCGGGGTTGTATTCTTCACAGTTTAGAATACTTCTAGTACGAAAATCTCTTTGAAACTTTCAGAATTTCTCCCAAAAAAAAGTTTGACAGTCTGCTACTCAAAGCGTACGGATCGGATTAACGAGTAAGTTTCCTCTTCGGAAAGTGGTGGCACAGAGTTCCCTACGTCGTGTTGGTACGATAATAAAACACGACGTACGGATAGGGTTAAAAGGGGGTGGGGTGCTCCTTTCCAGGCGGGCCCCAGTGTTCCCACGTGCATAATCTATCCCTGAATGCCATAATGCTAGACCTAAGCCTAACATCTAATCTCATGTTGTCAATCTTAATCTTGATTTTTTCAGGTGATGGCTTCAAATGGACAGTATAACAGCAGCTATGTGACGTCAGAAATTGTTATACGCCCTCTACGTAAGTGAATTAAGCCTCAGAATAGCATTCTTTTCAAAGTTGCCTATTGTAACACAACCCTCTGTTTGTTGTACAGTGGCAATGTGTACTGTGGTAATGTATACTGCCACCCTCTGTCACTGTGATAGGTTCAAGTGGTTCTCACAGCTCTGCTACTGTGGTTAGTTGAGAAATGTCCTTTCAAATTTGGATTCTCGATTACCTAGATGTATACAGCAAAAAGAACGACGGATAGAATCAATAGGCAATATCAAATACTGGTGGGTAATCAGATTACCGTATCCATTTTGATAAAATGCCAACTTGTTTGTTGCTCTTATGTTTATTGTTGGCGCTTTAAAAAAATAATTCGTAAGGCATTGCGTTTGTTGACAAAATTTGAGAAATTTGAGAGTAGTTTCTCTCTCTCTCTCTCTCTCTCTCTCTCTCTCTCTCTCTCTCTCTCTCTCTTATTCTTTTTGCTCCTCCTCCTCGTTGTCTGCATCCTCCATCCCCCCCCCACCCCAGACACACACAACACAAATGAAAGGGTATTGTTGGAGCCTTTTCTACGTGTGAAATATCGCTCCAGAACATTGAAATTGGTCGCTTTTAAGGACAAGCGGGCTAACCTAGATTTTGGGGGGTTCCAGAAATCTTAACCTTCACCAAATGTGGGCATTGCCCTACCTGTAGGAGAAGTTTGGTTTCATTGGTGTGTGTATTTGTTTGGTTATAGAAAAAACTCTCCTTGTCTTTTACAGAAACTGAACATGGGGCAAATAACTTTACTTTCGATTTTCTCAAAACAGCATTTTTCGGGATAGCTCCCTTGTGCTTAAAAGCGAACATCTGTACTCAGACACCTCTGTGTGTTGTTTACTTTGGTCTGTTGTGTTTATTTTGATCTAATTTTTCCCCCACACAGTCCCGAAAGTGAGTGAATACACGGCTACAGATTTCACGGCGGAGTCGTCTGGCAGCAAGAATACCCTGTCGTCTTTCCCAGTGACTGTGTGTTTATCTTGTCTCAAAGATCTGAGCAACAGACAGGGAATTTTAACGGAAGTTGTTCTTGCCGTCTGTAAGAATAAGTGTGGAGGCTCTGGGGCAGGTGAGAAGCTCCTGTCTTGAAAAGTGAAAGGTTTTGGAAAAAGAATACTTTCCTGTCTTGAAAAGTGAAAAGTTTTGGGAAAAGAATTCTTTCCTGACTGGAAAAGTGAAAAGTTTTGGGGGAAAAAATTCTTTGTTAAGTAAGGCTGTTGGGCTCGCAATCAGAAGGTCGTGGGTTTGAATACTGCCAGGGGCCTGACGTTGTTTCTTTCGGAACGGCACTTTACTCGAATTTTCCTCAATGAATTCAGTGGGGAATGGATACCTGAAGATCTTGTCAGTATGTTAGTATTTGAGCACGTAATCGACTACTTGCACCGTAAGCATCCAGGATCTTCTTTTCAACATTTCCTACTGAAACTGTTCACCAGAAACACATTTCTACATACGGGGAGGCTAAATAGAATTGTTGATAATTTTGCAGAGCTCTAAGGTGGCTGTCATGTACCTGAAAATACAGTTTTTGGACAATTGCTGAGTAGCTTTGTCATCAAAGTATGAGCACTTTTGGAACTGGTCAATTCAATGTGACTTCACTGGCCTTAATTTGACTGTTCATTCTGTGAACTGGCACGTTGTCCGTCTGCCGGGATGTTGTATCCCACTCTGCAGGGTTGAAACAGCCCAAGTCATTAATGGTCAAAATTGTGTCGATGAAGGTGTGGAACACATTTTCTCAAAAGTTATTTGAAGAATGTCATTTTTTCATCAATGTCACTGTCTTCAACTTCCTAATCTGTTGTAAATGGTTTTCTTTTTCAGGCCGTAGAAAGCGGGCAGTGGATGTGGACAGTTTGAAGACATGGGCCGAGGCTAAGAAGGAAGGATTTACTGGCATGTGCCGAGCAACTCCGCGGGGCTGGCACCAGGATCTGTTAAGTACGGCCGGAATTGGTGGTGGGGGAGAAACAAATTTAGTTATATAAACTCCCCCCAGTGGGTCAGCGGGGAAGGATAGGCCCTCTACACTACAATAGGAAAAAGGCTACATCAGTAAAGAAGTGGAGTGCCACACTCAAATGCCCCCCCCCCCCACATCCCCTAGGGCAGTATTACCGACTGAAGTTGTCTCCAGGCCATTCCCAAAGGGGGGATATTAACATGTTCTTATGCACTGTTTATTGTTAATGTGCTGATTTATCAATGTCATGCTCATACTGTGCCGGAACAAGATAGGGGGACTGCTGCTTTTTCTTTCCCCATCCTTACTGTCGTCATTTTTCCCTACTAGTTGTGTATGTTTGTCACTCTCTCGTGAACTTCCATTTCCGGGGTGCCTTGATAGTTGGAGCAGATTTTGTGCTGTTGAGGCTAGAGAGGTGAGCAGAGTAAGCCTGATTCCCCTTTTGGACTTTTCTGTTGACATCCACCCCTTGGCGCTCATTTGACCTTATGCAGTTGCGAGCGCCGTTCTAAAACTAATCTAAACAGTACACTCAAATGACAGGTGTCTGTGGTGAAATGGTTAAGTACCTTGCTGTCGCACTCAGGAGATTTCTGTTCGATTGCCGAGTGGGTGATAATTTTTCATTGAGTATCGCAGTTTTTCTGCTGGGATATTGTATCTCTCTGCCCATGTAGGCCCTGACAGGCAGAATTGAAAGCCCTTCTCCTGAACAATTGAAGTTGTTGTGATGTGGGTGTATTACGCCAATAGAAAAAAAGCCACTCAAATGTATCTACTTACTTGTACCTGTGTCAATTTAAAACTCAGTTGCACTACAGGTTGGAGAAAAAAGAAGTCAACTACCCTTGAGATCTAGCAAGGGAACACAAATAAAAGAAGAGAGAATTTGTTCTCCATCGGTGGTCCCAATATAATTCTGAATTTTGTAAAGACTATTGATCTTTACTCCAGAATATAGCTTGCATTTTTTTTAGAAATGTGAATTAGGCCAACTATTTTTAAAACTGAATTTTTACTTTGAATTTCAAACTATTTACAAAGTAAAACCAAGCTATACTGTAAACTAACATGAAAAAACCCAATTTGAATATTGCGCCCTTAAATCACTTTGTGCAGTTGCACATTCCGTGAAATTCTTACCAAACTGAAACTGATCTTTTTATATATATATATATATATATATATATATATATATATATATATATATATATATATATATATATATATATATATATATATATATATATATGTGGTATTTATGTTTAGGAAGGATGTAGTACATTCTAATACAAAAACAAAACATAAGAGGAGACTTTGTAAGTGTGAAAGTAAGGATGGAAAGATCAACTAACAAGGTCTCTAAGGATGAAAGGATCAACTAACAAGATCTCTGTAAGGATGAAAGGATCAACTAACAAGATCTCTGTAAGGGTGAAACGCCAACTAACAATTCCTCTGTAAGAGTGAAAGGATCAACCAACATTAACAAGGCCTCTGTAAGGACGAGAAGACAGACCAACTAATGAGGGCTCTTTAAAGTTGAAAGGGTCTTTCGAAAGCAGAACCGTAGGGGAACAATTTGAAGAAATGGGGGCCGAACATTTTATGTGCAGAAGAAACAGTCTATGATATAAAACAGAAACCAGTTTATAAAAATGTAACTGTGTTTGCAATTTCAAGTGAGCTACTCGTTGTGTTATATCAATAGTTTTTGAATCAGTTTGGGAAATGAATCATTTTTGGACAAGTCTTCGCAGCCCTCGTATTTGGTTTAGAAAAAAAACAACCTATCAAGCACTTTTGCATTTTACGTCTTTTTTTTCCAGGACGGCCAGAGAGACAATATGTATTCACAGTTGGGGAGAATAACTCATGCTCTGATACCGGCACTGACTTCTGCAATGGCCCACTTCCTTCTAGAGAAGACTTTCAGTGAGTTCTTTAACTTTTTAACTTTTTAAACTTTGTAACGTTTAAACTGTTTACTTGTATGTTTCCCTGGCAGCCATCTTAAGTTCATAATGCTACTTGTCACCTGACCATTTGTGACATGGTGTCTCATCCGTTTCACTCAGATACAGTTCCTAAGGTATTTATAATATTATATGAAATCATGTATTTGTATAAGTTCTCTGCTTGTTTTCTAGAGGACACAGTTGTAATGTACTAGCTTAATAGGGACAATAATGTCCCTCTAAAAAATCTCTCGTGTTGAATTCACAGGATACGGTGCTCGCCTCTCACTCAGTTAGAGTCTTTCTATTGACGTCAGGAAGGGAGGGTTGAGGGGGGGGGGGGGGGGGGCTCTCGTGGCCTAGAGGTTAAAGTGTTCGTTTCTTATTCAATAGGCCCGTTGTTTGAATTCGGAGAGAGACAGAACCTTTTCTCCTCTAAAATATTCTCCTTGCATCTCTTTTCCTGCTCTCTAGCAATGTTCTGTCGTCTTCTTTCATCTTCAGTTTCTACCCCCACCCCCTCACCTCCTTACACGCTGCTGTGAAGTTTTCAAAATTCTCCAAGGGCACTAAAATTAGAATTATAGAAAAGAGCTTGGCTTTCTGTTTTCAGAGCTTTTTAAACTTTTGTGCTATCTTTGTTAGTTCAGAAGCAGGGACCGTTTTTCGTGAATCAATTTTCGCCCTGATTTGGCCAAATTTTTGCGCTGCATTTTGTGTCACCAAAACTCGAAATTTTGTTTCAAAACGTCATAAAATCCTTAATAATAGTAGTATCGTAACCATTGAAGTATCATTTTGTTTGTTGTTTTAAGTAAAATCAATATATAAACATAAAAATCAAGTACATTGTGAGTAAAATTCTATTTACCGTTTAATTACGTCATAAGAGTGACGTCGAGAGTCCGATGCTTGTTATCCACAACAAAAAAAGAAGAAGAAAGAAACGGGCACACTTTCCATAATAATGGTCCGATTATCAAAAGAAAAACGTCACTCATTTTGTTTTAAAGAGTTCTTTAACTTGCTATTGGGGGAAAATGATTAAAATTGAAAACAGTTTCAATCTTACATACATCACTACTGCTGAGTGAAAGCCAATATGTTAGAAAGAAAAGCCCCACAAACAAAGCGATAGGCGTTGAAAACGTCACAGCAGAAGAGATCAAACTATACGGCCATATCGGAGAACTCTGGCTATGGAGGATATTTCACCTGGCCTGGACGACAAAAACAACACCCGATGACTGGCAACGAGCTGTCGTTGTACCTATTTGGAAAAAGAAAGGTAACAAATGACTATGGAGCCTAAAGAGGAATATCCCTTCTCAGCGATGTGGGCAAAACGTTTGCCCAGAAACTGGAAATGAGAATGAGACCAGTTGTAGAGACTCAACTCAGTAAATCCCAGTTTGGCTTTAGAAATGGCAGGGGCTGTACTGATACTTGTTTTGCATTAGGACAGTTGTGTGAGCCTGTCATTGGACATGACAAGACCTCAATGTCATCTTCGTGGACCACAACAGGGTAAATAGATGTCAACTTTGGGAAGTCTTAGAGGTAACAAGACTATTACAGGAGAACATCGTGGCACTTTATAAAAACAGCCTGTGGGCCATAAGATCAACAAAAGGACTATCGGACTGTTTCCCCATCACGTCTGGGGTGAGACAAGAGTGTGTTCTCTCTCCGCGTCTATTCATCACTTACGAGGATAAGATCACGAAAGCAGCTAATGACAACATCAATGAACTGAACAAGATTCTATTTGCTGATAACCACAGCACATTAAATACAGATGAAGAGGAATCACAAAAACACACCACAAAACTAAATGAGGAATGTAAACACCTAAACATGAAAATCTCCATTTCAAAAACAGAAGTTATGAAAGCTAGAAAAAAACCCAGGGAAACTCAACATTCGTATTGACGGAGGACAACTCCAACAGGTAGAGGAATTTAAATATTTGGGAAGCATCTTCACACTAGATAGGCGTATGGACAAAGAAAAATAAACAAGAACTATGAAGGCAAATGCAGTGACAAGAACATCCCAACAGAAGTGAAATCCCATTTCATCAATACAATCTTCATACCAACGTTAACATACCAGTGCCGAACATGGTCTCTAAACAAGGCATGAAAACGAAAAATCAATGCAGCCAAAATTAGGTGTCTCCGAAAAAAAACCCACCAACACCACCAGGGGTAACTTCATAAGGAACGAGACCATACTTCTACTAGTAGTAAATTTATTAGAGCATCAAAGAGTCAAATGGTTCGGACATCTAACCGGAATGCCCCAGAAACAACTAGCGGCTAGAGCTTACAACACCCACGAATCCGGCTTTAAATCAAGAGGAAGACCAAAAAAGATCTGACTGGATGGGGTTAAAAAGGTCGTGGAACAACATAAATGATTAACATATCTATCACAGATGCTACACACCTAGCACAGGATCGAAACTTGCACCTCCCCTAGACATCTTAAGGATACCAGAGGAAGGAAAAAATAAAGTAAAGTAAGAACTGAGGAGCAATAGAGCTCACTTTTTTGCAACTGGCATCCTTTTTCAGGTTTGTTTTATTTGTGGAAAAGAGTAAAAGGCTTACACTACTGATAAAAGCATGAGTCGTGGAAGGATGGCGGCGGTAGTGATTATGAGAGAAATAAGACGACAAGAAGGATACATGTATAATGTAGACAGAATGTGTGAAGTTGAAGAGCAAGTAATGTGGGACGGAGAAGAAAAGAGAGGTAGAGTTATGAAAATAAGAGGGGAGTGGAAACACACGAAGACACACTCACGCGCGCGCACACACACACACGCACACGCACGCACACACACACACACACACACACACACACACACACACACACACACACACATACAGAGAGAGAGAGAGAAGAGAGAGAGAGAGAGAGAGACAGACAGACAGAGAAGGGGGGGGGGGTAGTATGCAGCGGATCCCACATTCCAGTTCATAGCTTTTTTCGTTTTAGTTCATGCGACAGAAAACAATTAAACTCTGAATAAGTAGATCTACTAACATTAGACCCAGAAACTTTATCAAGCAAACAATTGCATAAGGTACTTTGATAGGCGCCTCAATTTAATTTTGACTTTGTTAACAACACGAGTTTGGCCTCTTCATACGAGATCTAGGCCCCACGCAATGAAAGGCTTGAGGCAGGGGAACAAAGGAGGGAGGGGGGAGCTCAGTGAAAAGGAAATACTTGGGTCTAAAAAGTCTCGTTTTGTTCATACTATTGAATGAAATAAGGCACAATGTAAGGTCAGTGATTATAAAGCATTACCAAATTGATTAACTTTTCAAATTGAAGTAAAACAATCTCTTGGTGATGTATTTCCCTGTCTCGTACATTTCAAACATTGAAGAGCTCAAGGCGCAAAATGCGTGACGTCACGGCTCGGCGCTATGTCACGGTGGAAGGGTTCAGCTAGGTTTTCGCGGATTTGGTTGATAACGGGGTAAAACTTCACTAGCCAAGGTGAGACTTCTTCCATAACCATTTAGACGTTTTCTGGAAGAACAAAGAATGGTTTATCAACGAGGGCAGTTTGAAAAAACTATGACGAGAATCTTTATAAAAAGCAATGGTTATAAATTGTCTTTTTTTCAACTTGAAATATCTCAATACTCATTAGTCGCACATCGACCTGGAAAAAAGCGTTTTCAAGGCCATCCAAAGGTCTTTAAAGACATGTTTCGGACTTGAACGTTGGTCCCCAAAATTAAACAAAAATATGGGAAGTTTGAACCCACCGTCGCGATGAGACGTCATGTCCGGAAACAAAACTCAATGGGACTTTCTGAAGCCGAATCACGCTGTAGGGAGCGCGTTCACTGAAGTGCCTACGGCTTTGCCCCCTCCTCTGGGCTCCTGACTCTTTCCTCAGCCTTTCTACTGCTTCTCCTAGGCCTCAACTGCATCCCCGAGTAGTAAGCAAGATCTAACACCTGTTCTTCTCAGATAAGGGCGAAAAATCTCGGAGGTCCCGTGGGCAAATTGCGCATTTTAAAGATCCATTGGTGGTCCAAAATCGACAAATAGTAGGCTTCGACTGCCACCTGGGCAAAATTTTGGTTTCATACCTACCGAAAATGTTTAAAGTGTCCTGTGCGCTCACATGACCTTATACAGTTGCGAGCGCCGTTTGTAAAACACTTGTTTTTTGGGTGTTGGTTTCATTCAAGAAAAAAAGCATAAGACCCGTCATGTTGCGTAAAGGAGTATTTGTCCGTCTTGAGTAGTGGGTTGAAAGGAAGTTTTCAGGACCGGAAAAACATTCTCAATGAATAAAAAAAAGGAGGAAGGAAGGGTATACCTCAAAAGTCACCCCACCCACACCTCAACAGACACAGGCGCACATACTTTGTTTTGCAGATATCTCACAGGTGTTGAACTCCCTATATCTAATACAACTGATGACACCTATCTCTAAATTAATAATAAGGACACAGTGTGTGTGATATCATTACTGTAGTAAAGGTGTGGATTGTCGATATCAAATAGGATAGACCACAGACACCTTAATATGAACACAAGACTCAGAACACCACCGCACCATGTTGATTAGCCGCTATTCGCAAAGTGCAAAGACTCTTTTATTGAATAACTCTCATCGAGCTCGAACAGTAGTTTCTCTTGGCTTCTATTAATCAGCCAAAACATTAGGGTAAAACCATAATACTGCAACAATTACTTCCTGATGTTGAGAAAGACTTTCCGTATAAAAGGAGCTGAATTACTGTGTGCTTGTTTCTTCAACAGAGTCCTCCTTATCGTGTGCAACGGCGCTGGCTGTGTGGATTACTTAAACGATGATTCTGTCTTTGGAACAACACCTAATGGTAACAGTTGGTCGATTTTCTCTGGGTTTTCTTAGGTTTTAACTTCTTTCTCCTGCTCCAAACTTTGAAAGCTTATATTGCGACTTACCACTTCTATGTTCTTCAGCATGGGCTGTCTGCGTTGTGGTGTATTTATGTATATATGTACTGCAAGCAAGATTTCTGCAGGGTATCGGTAAACATGAAGCTGCAGCGAGCACCTAGCACTTCTTTGTGATAGGCCCAAATATAGACGGCGTATTTCCGTCATCTATTTTCGACGTCCTCCGGGGTTTCCACCATGACTCTTGGGTTTCCTTCGCCTGTAAACTGTTAACTAAACCTAAATCTCGCCCTGTTTTTTTTATTTTCATTAAAAAAAAAAAAATTTGTGTTATCTTTTATAAACAATCTCAGCAATGCTCGTTCCATAATTTTACCTTCTCCTTAAAGTTGCACACAAACACACACACACACACACACACACACACACACACACACACACACACACACACACACACGCACACACACAAGCGCACGTACACACACACACACACACACACACACACGCACGCACAGAAGCGGGCGCACGCACACACACACACACACACACACACACACAAAGCCCAAGCTGTCGGCGATGAAATCATGTGACGTAGCCCATCGCGTGCTTGGCAGCAAAGCGGGCCCGCCAAAGTGAGATCTAGTCAAAGAGTAGAGAATCTTTGATCTAGTCTACTGGTGAGGGAAGCCCTCGAAGACGACAAAATTAAATTGCGGAAATACGTCATCTATCATCATCATCATCATCATCATCATCATCATCATCATCATCATCATCATCATCATCATCATCATCATCATCATCCAGTGCCAGATCTGCGACAGAAATCGGCGATCATGGTTCTCCATTCATCCCTTTGCTCGGATGCTCTCAAAAAGGCTACGTTTCCCTGATCTTTCCCTGTTACCCATTTGTTTAGGTTCCCTAAGTAGGTTGTTCTGGGCCTACCCCTGCCTCGTTTGCCTTCAATGTTTCCAGTAAGAGCTAGATGTTCAAAACCCTTATGTCTATTCAGGTGTCCCAAAAACTGCATTTGTTGTTCTTTGATTGTTTTTAATTTTGAGCGTCCCACGCGGGCTTCATCAAGCACTACCTTGTTTGATTTCTTTTCCCTCCACGATACTCTTAGCAGTCTCCTAAGAAACCACATTTCTGTTGCTTCTATTTTATTTTCACTGTCTTTAGTGATTGTCCAGAATTCACAGCCATATAGAAGAGTTGACCAAACATAGCATTTCAGGACTTTCATTTTGGTGTTCATTGAGATTTTTCTATTTTTCATGATTGGGCTCATTTTATTGAAACTAGCCTTAGTCATTGTAATTCTCCGTTTTATTTCTGTGGAACATTAAAATTTGGCATCAGGTATCATTATTATATCCTTGATGTTTAAACTGTTGGACTTGTTTGATCTTTTCTCCTTTGCTAATGAGATTACAACTAGGATTTGCTGCTTTTTGGATATTACCATACACTCTGTTTTCTTTACATTCAACAATAATCCTCTACGTTCATTTTCTGTTACAACAGTATCTAGAAGCATAATTGAAGGTCCTTTTCGGAGCCTGCTATTAAAACAGTGTCATCTGCGTACCTGATGTTATTAATCTTTTCTCCATTTACTTTGAGGCCTGGACATTCTTCTATGTTTCTATCGATTGTTTCACTGTACATGTTAAAGAGGTCTGGTGACATAACACGTCCTTGCCTCACTCCTCGCCTAATCGTCTATGTTTTGGCCGATTACAGAGGTGTGCTAGGTGCTCGCTGTAGCTTTGTGTAATCGATGATAGTGGAATTTTGTTTATTTAAAAAATGTTTAAATTTGTTTATTTCTATTGATCTAAGTTTGTTCTATTTTAGTACCATGAGCAGGCTTATTTATTCCACCCTCCTTTGATTCCACCCCCACCAACGATTATGAGCTGCCCACTTGCAATTAATTGCGGTGACGAAAAAGATGTATTTTCTTATGAGCCTGACATCCTGGCAAGCAAAGCCAGGGGTCAAATCTACAAATTGCTATCTCAGAATTACAAACGTTTTATCTGCACAGCACCTAATTTTGAGAAATTTGAGAGTTTCACATCATGTCAAGCTTTTTGAATATCTTTATAACGACTCCTAATATTCTTACGTTTTTGATACAGCAAACAGAACATTTAGTTTTTGATCGCATGGTCCTGGTAACTCAAAAAGGCCAAAAATTTCAGATAGACCTTTGCAGTTCTGAGGAAGTGAATTACCTTTCAGTTTCAGTCTCATGCTACCCACGCCATGTGTTCCCTCTGTTGAGTTTCACAAGAGATAGTCTATGTAGATTCACTTTCAGCTGACTGGAGGAGTTTCTGGGGTTTTTTAAAATACGGAAGCCCTCTTCTGGGATAAAAGAAAAAGCACTTTATCTGTTTGCTGACATAAACAAGACCAGACAATCGAGAGAAAATCGTCATCTAGGTGTCACCTGTATTTTTCTGACCTTTCTGCTTCTACTCTTTCATAGTATTTTGTTGATGATTTATCAAGCAAAAGAATGAATACGAATTTTATTTTAAAGTGTTGGAATTTTGTTTTTACTTTTACATGTCATACATGTTTGTTTTGAAAAGTGGAGACACTGATTTATCAGAATCAGGTGGAATATTTGTGGAGTATGAGCATGATGGATTGTCATAGATATTTTTCGCTTTAACGGGGGTAGACTACGTATGGGTTGTATCATTGACCGTTGTATTCAATTTTTTTTTCAGTTGACAGTGACGATGGCAATGTTGTTGTTATTGTCTTAGCTGTCATCTGCTCTCTTGTGGCTGTTGGGATAATTTTGGCCGTCATTTTCTTTGTTTGCCGACGAAGAAGGCAGAAGCGTCACAAGTGAGTTCAAATGAAGTCGACCGTGACAAGGGATTCTACCATCTTAGTTTAAAAAGAAACAACTAACCAACAGTAGCTAATGACATAAAAGTTACCAGCTTTCGTCTGCTGTGATAGCTAGGGTAGGGTATCAGGTCATCACATGACGTCTACTCCACTCAGGTAGAACATTTACCTACCCAAGTACAATCAGGAGAAAACTAAAAACCACAGTGTGTCTATTTCTCTCTACTGTCTCCATAATCATTATAATAATAATAATAA